CCCACCCCTGTTTCTCTGTCTCATTGCCTTGCCTATTAAACGGCGATGATAATAGCATCTCCCGCAATGGAATGTCCTGCAGCTTCGCGGTGTCAGTAAAAGGCTTTGAGCTCCCAGAGGAAAGGCACCGAGCTCCAAGGTGTTATTAGAAGTAATTGGTCTGCAATTGGGTAACCCTTCAAAGCGGCCAGACTCAGTTTACTTCACCCAGTTTCTCTGTCTCCTCTCAATCTCTTCTCTCTGTTCACCTTGAGATTGCTACCCCTTGCTCACCGCCCCCTCGTCCCTGTCTCATCTCAGCTCCCTGCAGGTTACTCACACACTTTCACTCCCAGCTTCAGACTCCCCCCACTGAGCATTCTGCCTCCAAAGTGATGGAACCCCAGACAAGTAGAACTGGCAAGGGCCCTGGGGAACATTGAATTCAAATCTCAAGCCACAGAAGTAAAGGTTGTCCATCCATCCATACACCCACTCATCCATCTGTCCACTCATCTATCCACCCATTTATCCTCATCCCATCCATCTACTCATTCGCTCAACCATCCATATATCCATTTATACATCCATATATCCATTCATCCATATATCCATTCACCCATTCATACATACATACATCTATCCATTCATCCACTTACCCATCTATCCATTCATCCATTGACCTAGCTATCCTTCTATGCCCCTACCCAGTGCTTAGTCTGCCAGGTCTGTGTTAGGTGCTGGAGATGCCCACATTAACTCAGGCTGCCTTTAGTTCCTACCAGGACTCACCTGGCAGCATAAATGCAAGACAGTGCCCTGGCTTCTCGCAGGGAACCCCTTGTCCTGCCCTACACATGCCCACAGGGCCTTTTTTCCTTCTCATCACTCTGACCTACACTCTATTCTTCTTCTCTGCAGGGGCAAGGAGGTTGGAGGACAGGGGTAGGAGGCTGACCCTAGGGCCTCTGATTCCTGAATATCTCCTGAAATCGTGGTGCAGACAGCTCAACCACTGAGCCACACCGGCTGGGCACTGAAGCAGAATTTTAAAAAGTCAAAGGATGAGTCTTGTGCAGAGTCAGCATCTGTCAACAATTTATTTTTTAATATATTTTTTATTGATTTCAGAGAGGAAGGGAGAGAGAGAAAGAGAGAGAGAGAGAGAGAGAGAGAGAAAAACATCAATGATGAGAATCATTGATCAGCTGCCTCCTGCATGCCCCCTACTGGGCTATCCATTCATCCACTTACCCATCTATCCACTCATCCATTGACCTAGCTATCCTTCTATGCCCCTACCCAGTGCTTAGTCTGCCAGGTCTGTGTTAGGTGCTGGAGATGCCCACATTAACTCAGGCTGCCTTTAGTTCCTACCAGGACTCACCTGGCAGCATAAATGCAAGACAGTGCCCTGGCTTCTCGCAGGGAACCCCTTGTCCTGCCCTACACATGCCCACAGGGCCTTTTTTCCTTCTCATCACTCTGACCTACACTCTATTCTTCTTCTCTGCAGGGGCAAGGAGGTTGGAGGACAGGGGTAGGAGGCTGACCCTAGGGCCTCTGATTCCTGAATATCTCCTGAAATCGTGGTGCAGACAGCTCAACCACTGAGCCACACCGGCTGGGCACTGAAGCAGAATTTTAAAAAGTCAAAGGATGAGTCTTGTGCAGACTCAGCATCTGTCAACAATTTATTTTTTAAATATATTTTTTATTGATTTCAGAGAGGAAGGGAGAGAGAGAGAGAGAGAGAGAGAGAGAGAGAGAGAGAGGGAGAAACACCAGTGATGAGAATCATTGATCAGCTGCCTCCTGCATGCCCCCTACTGGGGATCAAGCCCGCAAACCAGGCATGTGCCCTTGACTGTAATTGAACTCGGGACCCTTCAGTCCGCAGGCCAGCACTCTATACACTGAGCCAAACCAGCTAGGGCTGTCAACGATTTATTGATCTTAATCATAAGGAAGCCAGCAGGATGATCAAGTGGTTCCCAAACCATAGGAACAATGAAAGACTACAGTGTCTGATAGAAGCTGCGTCGCCACATTGCACAGGGCTCCCCAGTGCACTACACAGTCCCTGCTGGTGGTCTGCGGTTGATAAACCATCTCTGTGGGACAACATCCTATTTGTTGCCACCAGATAGGATCATTTGCATCACCATCAGTTTTCCACAAGTTAATATGAGTCTAGAGTTGTCAAACACCCCATTCAATAAAGACCAGAACAAAAGGCACATGCCCACTGGGTTGCTGGTGTCTCCAGTGTGTCCTGTCGTAGGTGGTCCTCGTGCAGAGCTGTGAGTGAGGCCAGGCTCCACCCTGAGCGACCAGGAGAAAGCCAACCACCACGCCAGATGTGGCTGAGAACTGGCCGCTGGAGACCGGCTGTCGCTGTCTCCAGGTACAGAGAAATGCAGGCTGGATAAGCTAAGTGCAGCTAAGGTCACCTGGCCGGAGGGTGATGAGTCGGGAGCAGATGCAGGTCAGACACCCAGACCCCAGGTCCTGACTCCAGTAAGCAGCTCACTGATGACCTCACTCTCCGGATCTGCGGCCGGGAAAACCATGCCTGGCCCAAAGGAATCATTCGTCTTCCAGCCAGACGTGCCGAGGCTGGGGGAACGCACTTCAGATGCCGAGCCTGAGCATGCGTGGTTTTACCCACTTTCTGTGCACAGTGCTCTCTGCGTCCAAAGCAGCTAACTACCGACTGCAGGTGAAACAGCCTGGCCCTTCGGTGCCCACAGCTCCGCGCAGTGAGGTCTTTGCCCTGCTCTGGGCAAGGCCAGGCTCAGGGTGGGGGGCTGCTTTCTGGGGGCACCCCTCGCTGGGATGGGCACTAACATTGGGGGTAACAGGAAGATACAGACCCTCACTGAATCTGTCTTTTCAGCAGAGGTTCTAAAGAGGTAGGGGAGACACCATCAGATGGGGCCGTGGGGTGGGAGGAAGAGCCGGAGAAAACTGCCAAGTGCAGGCCTCCAGGGCCCACCTCAGCTCCACCGCAGGTTTTGAGTAGGCTTGAGCCTCCCGCCTCCCAGGGAAGCCCCAGCGCACAGTCAGCCCCTGGATTCACCTCCTCGAGACCATCAGAACGCTCAGGTCACATCAGGCAGAACACAGTATTCCCGCTTCTGCCTCATCTGACGGCTGGTTTTTGTGAGTCACGCTTGGGGCGACAAGCAAGGCAGAAATTCTATTTGTCGCTGTCTTTTCTTTGGGTACAAATGGAGACAGTCCCCAAATTCTAAGAATTTAACGTGTGAAGAAAGAAATAGCTCAGTGAAAGACACCCTAGGTGCTCACTTATCGGGAAGCCTTGCTGAGTTTTACTAACCTGTTATCTTTACCCCGGAAAGGACGTTCCAGCTCCTGATCTCGGGAGGCGCAGAGGCCCAGGAAGAGCTGTCCCGGGTGGTCCTTCCCTGAGCTCCTGCGGCTCGTCCTCAGAAGCCACACCTGCGGGTTGGGAGACTGTCTCATGAGGCTCCAAAAGTCTGGCAAACATCTCCTGACACATCGTTTAGTATCCGTTGACCTTCAGTGTTACCCAGTCTCGGTTTAGTGACATGCGATGACTCCACTTTCCTCCCAGCTCTGGATGCCCCTGAGGATGGAGAGAGAGGGGAGTGGGAGCAGCTGGCAGTGGTCGGCGACGAAGCTCACTCTGTAGCTTCGCCAGGACCGGGCTTCACTTCATGGAACACCTGGACCCTCTGTCTAGACCTCGCCCCACACCTCAGTGCTGCCCTGTGAGAGACGAAAATCCCTTTTTACTATGTTTTCTACAACCTGTTAATCACATCGAGACCAAGCAGGAAAGGCTTACGATGAAACCTCATCAGTTGGTTTTTGACTGCTCCCCGCGGCCAGGCCCCATGCTAACTCCCCTGAGGCCCATTCCTCTGGGCAGAGTAACCTGTGGTTGGGCTAAACACTGTGCCCCAAAGAACTGCTTGCAAAGATAACAAGAAAGCAGATGTGATGACTCCTGGACCGGTGACGACAACACTGAAAATTAAAAACGTCGTTTAGAATTAGCGTCACTATATTAGCTTATCTGCACCAACGGCAAGGCCTGCCTTCTATGGATGTACAGTCTCGCTCCCCTTTCTCATCAATACCCCTGGCCTTTGCCTCCTCGTCGAAACACTATTTGGCTTCTGCCTGAATCACTGCACTCCTAATAGCTCTTCTTATTGATCTCGAGTCAATGCCTTTGCCTCTCAATTAGAAAGACCCTTTTATTTTTAGGTCAATATGTGCCTGCCTCCTCCATGGGGTGAGCGTGGACGAGCAGGGGTTTGGACAGGTGCAGCACCTCCCCTTGGTGGTGCTTAGCTGCGAAAATACGAATCTCCATGGGACATGCAAAACACCAACACGGTCTCCCTTGGTTCCACCTTGTCCGTTCCTCAGGCTGACAACTCCTACGACCGGCCACTAGAGGGTGCACACCCAAGGCCCCAGGCTCGGAAGGGCGCGAACACAGGTTAAGCTCTGCTAGCAAGGTCGTGACTTCCTTAATGCTTTCTGAACAAGGAACACTGTATTTTCATCCTGCATCAGCTCTGCAAATTCTGCAGGTGGTCCTGCCTGCCACCCCCTTTAGCCAGGCTCCCACACATCGATTTTGTCATTAACTCTGCAAGGTTGAGGTTTGTCTTCAGAAGAAAGCCCTGGAGTAGGAGAAGGAGGAAACAGAAGAAGGATCGAGCGGGTAGGGAGACAGATTTGGAGCATGTGGAGGGCGCCTGTCTTCATCCCTGCGTCCTTCCTACGAGTCCCAGGAAAGGGCAGGGAGTTGCACCCTGCTTTGCAAAAAGCAAAGGAGAAACCGCTTTCCTGTCTTCTGAGATGGCCCTGGACATGTTTCTGAAGTCCCCACAAGGGGTAAACATGGTTATTCCATGTTGATCTCAAAATACAAAACAACCACAACAAATCTGTGAGTGGTCTCTGGGTGTCAGCCAGGGAGTGGAGGCAGAGGGAAGGGAGGAGTTCAGTGATCCATCGAGCATGGCTTCATCCTGGGGACCCCTCCCCAAGCCTGGGGCTCTGGCCAGGGGCCTGGGCAACCTCTCCCTGGGGCATCTTCTGGAGCTGAGGGTCTCAGAGAAGATCTCCCCCTGCTGCCTGCTGCTCACTTCCTCAATGCTGGCCTTGAAATTTGACAAATGGGAGCTGGTAAATATCTACACTAATAAAAGAGAAACATGCAAATTGGTGTCACTCTGCTACACCCACCAGCCAATCAGAGCAACTATGCAAATTAACCTAACAAAGATGGCGGTTAATTTGCATATGCAGCTGCAGAGTGAAGACTGAAGACTGAAGACTGAAGAGGCTTGGCTTCTCTGCTGCGGCCAGACCAAAGGCCTGGGTCCCGAGTGCCAGAGGAAAACCAGTGCCAGCAGCCATGGGAAGGAAGGCCTATTGCACGAATCTTCGTGCAATGGGCTTCTAGTTAACTAATAAAACAGTAATTCTAAAAAGAAAGAGAAATGAAATGTTCAAAACACTTTCTCATTATTCCCTAACAGATTCACAGACAAAGCACAATTTATAAAAGGCTAAAAACCTTATAATCAAGTCTGATGCTCTTAGACCCAGGGTGCTGTCTGTAATTTGCAGGTGAAGAAAGAGAAGACAAACCAGAGAGGTGCAATAATTCACCCAAGATCACACAGCCAGCAGCAGACCCAGGGCTGAAATCCAGTTCTTCTAGATCTTGGGCCTGAGGCAGAGCAGAGTCAGCTGAATCGTGAAAGGTCAGAGCTGGACACTGCACAAGACCCAGCTGCGCCCCGGAGACGCTGGAGGTGGCCTCGGGCCTGTCTCCCAGTCCTGGGGTGTCCTCGGCACCTATTAGCACATTAGTGTGGAGGTTTTGTTTTTCTTATTTGTTTCTTTTTTTCATTATTTTTATTATACAATGTTTTAAAAATAATATTATCTATATCTATATCTATATCTATCTATATCTATATCTGTATCTATGTCTATGTCTATATCTATATCTATATCTATATCTATATCTATATCTATATCTATATCTATATCTATATCTATATCTATATCTATATCTATATCTATATCTATATCTATATCTATATCTATATCTATATCTATATCTATATCTATATCTATATCTATATCTATATCTATATCTATATCTATATCTATATCTATATCTATATCTATATCTATATCTATATCTATATCTATATCTATATCTATATCTATATCTATATCTATATCATCTATATATATATCTTTAAAAGAAAAAACTCTTGAAAAAACACAAAATACCATTATTGCACTTAAAAAAGTTACTGGTAAATCCTTAATATCAAATATTTACTCTGTTCAACTTTCCAGTTGCCTTTGTTTTCTTTCATACTTTTTTGTTTGAGTTAGGATTCAAATTAGATCTATATATTGTTTATAGTGATTTTGTATAATTTATAAGTTCTTTCTCTTTTATACAAGGGTGAGCAAAAATAGGTTTACACTTGTAATACAAATACATAATATAATAATAAATAATAATACAAGAATGAACTCTTGTTTCACGTACTCAGAACTATAAACCTGTTTTTCCCCACCTTGTATTTCCTTGTAATCAATTATTTTGGAGAACCTAGAGTGCTTGTCCTACATCAGTGATGTCGAACCTATGACACGCGTGTTAGAGGTGACACGGGAACTCATTTTTTTGGTTGATTTTTCTTTGTTAAATGGCATTTTAATATATAAAATAAATATCAAAAATATAAGTCTTTGTTTTACTATGGTTGCAAATATCAAAAAATTTCTGGCTACTCCATCGTATGGCTGCTCCATCCTATGGCTACTCCATCCTATGCCTAGATCATCCTATGGCTACTCCATCCTATGGCTACTCTATCCCATGGCTACTCCATCCCATGGCTACTCCATCCTATGATTATTGCATCCTACGGCTGCTTCATCCTATGGCTACTCCATCCCATGGCTACTCTATCCCATGGCTACTCTATCCTATGGCTACTCCATCCTATGGCTACTCCATCCTATGGCTACTCTGCCCTATGGCTACTCCATCCTATGGCTACATCCTATGACTACTCTGCCCTATGGCTACTCCATCCTATGGCTATGGCCCACGGACCTGTGCACAGATGTTCTGCTTTTCCCAAGGCCCAGCAGCACACCCAGGGACACTTTCCCCCAGGGCTGCCTTTGAAAGCTGGGCAGTTCCCTGGGATGCTGGGATGACCTAGCTCTTGGTCTGGGGGTCTTCCCTGTGAATCACCTGTGGGTCTTGCTGGAGTCTCACCTGACATCTTTCTCTACCTCAGATGCCTCTAGTGATAAGGGATCTGCCATGTCACATGGGCCAAGCCACAGGGTTGCTTACACCGTGGCTTAGACCTGCTGTAGCCTCTCTTTACTTTGGGCCTTGCTCCCCACCAGCAGCCTCCCACCCCATCTGCTGGGGTCAGAATGGGATCCAGGGCGCAGAATGGGCTGTCCCCACCCAGGGGGCCAGTCTGGCCGGTGCTACTGCTCCCCAGCTCCAGTCAACATGCTCTCACCGTCAGGTCACAGGCTGGGTCCTCAGGGTCTGTCACCCAGGAGATGACTCTATAAAAGTCACATTGGCCTTCAACTCCCAGTTTTTACTTTAAGTTGCTGACTAATAGACCTGAGATGGTCAGTTTTCCTTTGGAAGCTGTTTCTGCCCACATCCAGTCTTTCAAGTGACCATATGTCTTGATATCCGGCAACATTTCACCCGTGCACGACCTCTCCGTTTTTACCCAGGGGGCCGGGACGAAGATGGAGCTCCCCCACCCAGGCCAGCCACCTTCCAGTCCCCTGTGTCGGGGTCCTCACTGCTGCCTGGTGGGGTACCCCACCTGGAGTCTCACTTCCAGGGGCAGAGGACGGACCGCCCAGCTCTCAGGGTCCCCGGCCCTGTCGCTGAACAGGCTCTGCCCAGGTGCACAGAACTGGGGACGATCTGTTATTCCCCCTCAGTCCCATGACTCACAGCGAAACCTCGCCTGCACCTTGTGGCTGCCACCAAAGCCCCAAGGAAAAGGTGATTACAACCGTGTCTTCTTTTAAACTCTCCCCTCCTCCAGGGAGAAAAGCCGGAGCACAAAGAGGGACCTAAAGTATCTCCTTATCAGCAGCCTGATACGGTCCTGGAATGTTGGCCGGGGCCCGGGCACTCAACAGAGGAGCTTCTCAGGGACGTGACCTCCTTCATCCATTTCCTGGAATCTGATGGGATCCCTCCTC